CTGGCCGGGCAGGGGGCGGCCACCGGCTGGCGGCGGGCAGGCCACAGCGAACAGGACGCTGCGGGAGGCTTGCGGTCTGCGGACGGCTTCGCTGGTTCTCGGCGGCGCTCCCGCCTCGGGATGCCGTCTGGCGGGTGCGACCCCTCCGAAGGCGCTGCGGGGGCTCCCGCGCGGTGAATCGAGAGCCGCTGGGCAGCATCCCTCCCTCCTCGTACTCCCGCCAACTCCAGCCTCGTTTCCCTTCCTTCTCCTTCTCCTCCTACTGCTCCTCCTCTTCCTCCTCATTCTCCTCATTCTCCTCATCCTCCTCCTCCTCCTCCTCCTCCTCCTCCTCGTTTCCGAACGGCCGCTGAAGGCCCGAGTACACCCCTGTATGACCCGATCGCTACCAGGCCTTCTCCCTCATTCCTCGTTCTCCTGCCTCTCATTCCCCGCCCCCTCCCTACAGGAGGACTCCCCCCTGCCCCTCCCCCCTCCTCCTCATCCTCCTCCTCCTACTCCTCCTCCTCCTCCTCCTCCTCCTCCTCGTCCTCCTCCTCCCCCTCCTCCTCCTCCTCCTCCTCCTCCTCCGCCTCCTCCTCCTCCTCCTCCTCCTCCTCCTCTCCTCCAGGAGGTGGCAACATCGCAAAACAAATCACGAACGGAGCTCCAGACCCAATCTTACTGCGTCACTTTTCGAGCCGGATCGGTATGTGAGGGCCCCGGGGCCCGACACGGGACGAATTGCCCGTTGCGGAAAAGTGGGAACGCCAGGATCTCATCAGCTACACGCAAGAGCGACCCTGGGTAAGACTGACCTTTGGTGCGCAACTTTTCGGGGACCGCGGGGGGGGGGCCGAACCCAAGCGCGCAAGCTGCCACCGCTGCCTCGCGTTCGGCGATCGGGGGACCCCAGTGGGTCCACACCGAAGGTCACTCCGGCGGAGGGTCGCTCTTAACGAGTAGTCGATCTCAAGGGATCTCGTGAGGAGCAACGGTGGGGGGGGACTGGCGAAAGGGGGCATGCATCGACCTGGCATCGGCGATACGTCGCCGATGGATCGGCGATCGGGCCCCGATGGTGAGTCCGCGCCTTCCTGGGCAGTTCAGAGCTGTCGGGCCCCTATGGGCAATCAATGGGCGACTGCGGGTCGATGCATTCTCCTCTGTGCCTATCCCCTGACGTTTAACCGATCCTCATCCCCAGCGGCGTGGCCTGGGCCCCACTGGCCGAGTTACCTTCCCTAGGTGGGGATATATAGGCCGTTCCCTTCGGGCTTCGAGGGGTGTATCCCCAACTGGGAGGGGGGGGCAACTTGGGGGGGGGGTCTCGCAAGGAGTGGGGATGGGGATGGGGATGGGGGTCGGATAAACGATGCTGACCCTGAGCTCGTTGGCCGACCTGGCGGTTTTCACGCGCCGCGAGGCGCGCCCGGCGAGGCCTTCCGCAACGAGCGCGGCCCTCCGCGCGGAGGCCCTCCGCGGCCGGTCGCGCGCGCGCGGGCTTGGGGCGCCGCGGCCCGCCTCGCAGCGGCACGGCCCGAGGCGGCACTGGCCCGCCCCCGCGAGCGTGAGCGGCCCGGGCGCCGTTACTACCAGGCCGGTCTATATATATATATATATATATATATATGTGTATGTATATATATATATAGAGATATCGGTGCGCGTATGTATATAGGTGCATATTTATGTATATGCGTGCATATGAATGTGCATATACGTTTACACATGTATGTATATGTGTATATATACATATGCACCTAGACAGCAGGGTATACTCTCGTAGTGCTTTCATATTCCGATTACGGCGGGTAGCGTTTGCACCATTATTCGCAGTCGTTGTTTTACGGCCATGCGTATTATTGTTGTGACGATTAGGACATGTTGATACATGTATGCCTGCATGTCTGTATCTATGTCTGCATGCATGTGTGTATGTATGCATGCCGATATACGTATGTATGCATTTATTTGTATACATACATATACAACGATGTGTGAATATGCATGTCTGCCGATATGCCTGCATGTATGTATGTATGATTGTTTGCATGACTGCATGTGTACGTACCATTATGTGTGTCTGTATGCATGTCTGTAAGTATGTAGATATGTGTGCCTTACGTGTATGTGTATATGTATATGTGTATGCATATGTATATGTATATTTTTATATATATATATATATATGTACATGTGTATGTATATGTGTATAACTATATATATATATATATAGATGTGTGTGTGTGTGTGTCGCCGTCACGTTTGTCCCCGACGCGCCCAAGGAGGACGGCGCCGACACCACAAAAAACCCAGGGCAGGCCCTGCGCCCCGCACCCCCCGAGGCAGACCGGGGCCCGCCGCGCGGCGGATCCGCGGCAGACCCGCCGCGCTCGAGGCGGCGCGTGCGCCTCCGCGCGGCCGCGGCGCCCTCCCCGAGGCGGAAGGGCCGCGCGTCGGGGCCAGCGTTACTGTCGGGAGCGGCCAAGAGGGGCGTGTCCAACAGGGGGGAGTGCAAATCATGACCGGCGGCATGTGCGCGGCCCAGCGGGGGGGCCTGGGACGTAATAAAATAAGAAGAGGCGCCATGAAATCTGGGGAAAAATCATGGCCCGCGCCATGAAATCCACCCCCCCTAGTCATCACCCCCCTCTTTTCCGCTCCCGATACTGCAGATCCCTCCTTCGTCGGCCCCCGGGTCCGGTTTTGTAGGGCGCCTTCTTTGTTATGGGGGGGGGTCTGGTTTATGAGGCTTTAGGGCGGTTTCTTTGGATTGGAGCTTAGGGGGTTCGGGTTTTTAAGGCGCCTTTTTTGTTATTGGGTGGGGGTCCAGTTTATTAGGCTTTAGGGCGGTTTCTTTGGATTGGAGCTTAGGGGGTCCGGGTTATTAAGGCGCCTTTTTTGTTTTTGGGTGGGGGTCCAGTTTATTAGGCTTTAGGGCGGTTTCTTTGGATTGGAGCTCAGGGGGTCCGGTTTTTTAAGGCGCCCCATCGAGGAGGGGGGTCCGGAATAGTGGGTCGCATTTGGAGGGGGGTCCGGTTTTCTTTGGGGGGTCCCGCTCGAGACTTCCTCCGTTTTTACGCAGGGGTGGTGTTCTTGCTCGCCGCCGAAAGCCGCCGTCCTAACAAAACCAGCGCTCCCCCTCGAGACTTCCTCCCGTTTTACCTTGGACTGGCGCGCTAGCCTTCTCTCATCGGCGCCGCTCCCAGCAAAAACAACGCTCCCGCTCGAGGCTTCCTCCATTTTTTACTCAAGGCGGTGTTCCCCCTCGCCGCCGAAAACCGCCGCCCCGACAAAACCAGCGCTCCCGCCCGAGACTTCCTTCCGTCTTACGCTGGACTGGCGCCCTACTCTCTTTTGAATTGGCGCCGCTCCCAACAAGAACAACGCTCCCGCTCGAAGCCTTCCTGAAGACGGTGCTGTTCCTCGCCGCCGACAGCCCCCGTCCCGACAATATCACGTCTCCCGCTCGATGCTTCCTCCCTTCTTACTCAAGGCGGTGCTCCTCCTCGCCGCCGAAAACCGCCGCCCCGACAAAACCAGCGCTCCCGCCCGAGACTTCCTTCCATTTTAAGCTGGACTGGCGCCCTACTCTCTTTTGAATTGGCGCCGCTCCCAGCAAGAACAACGCTCCCGCTCGAGGCTTCCTCCCTTTTTCCTGAAGACGGTGCTGTTCCTCGCCGCCGACAGCCCCCATCCCGACTAAACCACAGCTCTCGCTCGATGCTCCCTCCATTCTAACTCAAGGCGGTGTTCCTCCTCGCCGCCGAAAGCCGCCGTCCCAACAAAACCAGCGTTCCCGCTCGAGACTTCGTTTTGTTTTGCGCTGGACTGGCGCCCTACTCTCTTCAGCATTGGCGCCGCTCCCAGCAACAACTGCAGCCCTGCTCGAGACTTCCTCCCTTTCTATTCAGGGCCGGGTCCTTGCCTCACCGCCGACAGCCCCCATCCCCACCAAGGCAATCCTGTCATTCGATACTTCCTTGTGTTTTACCCTCCGCTGGGGTTCCACTGGTGGTCTCGAATCGGCGCAGCAAGGCGCGGGCATGTGTTTTCGAGGCGGGAAATGTTAAACTTCCTCGGATGGCCCCCCATGATAGAACAAGAGTCCCCCATGATGTGGATGGTTATCATGATGGTCGCATACTTCGTGTGGAAACATCGCGCGTGAGGGTAAAATGATTGTCGTTGTTGCTGGCGTCGTTGTTGTTGTTGTTGCTGTTGTTGTTGGTACTGCCATTGTTGCTGTGGTTGGGGCGCCGTGCAGGCATCGGGCTGCGTCGGGTGCCCGGACGGTCGTAAGCGTCTCGGCTCGGGCCGGCCGAAGCCGATATGTCTCGAAGCGGATCGGCTGGATCAAAATTGCCCCCGGGCGCGGGGGGCAGTCTCCCGTCGGGGCCCTGAAGAAGGAACCCTTTTCGTTGGGGAGGGGCTCGGTGTGCCTTGATTGTTCTACAGTTTGCCCTCTGTTTTCCTGAGATCTTCCATGGGACATCGAAGCTCAACTTATGGGAGAGAGTGGCCCCGTTCCTTATTTGGAGTTCCTTAGGTCAACGCCCCGACTGTAGAGGCGGCACGCGCGGCGGTCAGAACGGGAAGCTCGGCGGGGCCACCCCGGCCGCGTAGCCGGCCCCCGCCAGCACCAGGGCGCCCACGCCGCCGAGCGCCGCGGCCCGCGGCCCGCCCAGCCTCAGGTCGGGCCTGTCCCCCCACAGGCGGAATTTGGACGAAAACATTAGGATAGCCAATAGATGCTCCCAGAATTACCACAAAGGGCAGAAACATCGTTCCCAGACTTCGAAACAGTGCCGGACGAGTGTCTCCCAGGGTCCGACGCGTGAGAACCCTCGAGTTTGGGTTCTCTTTTTTTTCTGGTGCTCGAAATTCTTCCTGGTGGTCCAGGCAAACATAGGTTGGAACATCATAACTGCGGAGGGTCAGGCCCGACTTAAGCCCAGCCTCTCGAGCTGCTCCGTCGCGCCGCCGCTCGCGCCCACGCCCACGGGCGCGCTCTTGAT